CTAGACCACTCGGTCTCCGATAGTACCTCCTATACCTCTCCAAACCCACGACGTAGTACCGCTATACCCCCGGCTTCACCCTCCATGTCGCTGGCATCCACCAGCAACAATACCAATATTAATTTCCTCCTCAACCCCTCGCATTCGATGTCCCCCTCCATCGACCCCAGTATGCAACTCTCTGACCGGAACACTGCACTGCCATCAAGACCGGCAACTTCACAGAGAAGCATGAGCCATATGAGTCAAATGAGCCTCATGAATCACCCACCAGACGATAATTCAGAGACCGATTTCGAGACCGCTTTTCTTCTGCGACATTACTCGGAAGGACCAGGACTGTGGTATGTTTTCTCCCATGCGCTGATGTGTAACTATTGAGTAACGCTGATATCCGCAGGATGGATCTCTTTGACCTAGGGACATATTTCGCTTCATACGTCCCAGTGCGAGCAAGAACCAACCCTCTCTTGAAATTCGCCGCCTGCGCATATTCCGCCAAACAGCTAGGCCGAGTCAAAGGTGCCAAGGCATCGGTAGGTGGAGTCTGCACGCAGCAAGCTGCTATGGAACTGTGGCCTGACAAAGACCCCGACTTCGCATGGTATGGGGCTAAGTATTATGAAAAGGCCATCCAGCTGTTAATGAAAGAGCTGCAACCTGATGCAGAGGGTCCACCTCCATTGAGCACCCCCGAGGCTTTCGGTCAATGGCAGGCTGCCGAGCTTTCTGTAGATTCGGATAACCCACGTAAGCGCCGCAGACGGGTTTCTGGTAGTCGGCTCTCGCATGGAGTTCAATCCGATGAGGTGCTCGCGGCGACAGCCATTCTATCTGTGTATGAGTTCCTCGATGCGGCAGGCCCTGCGTGGAATCGTCATTTGAGTGGCGTGAAGTCGTTGCTTGATGTCGCTGAAGTGGGCATGATGCCTCTTGAGCAGCGTGCATCTCCGGGAGAGGGCTCATACCAAACGCAGACACCTAAGAAGTCAGGTCTTTCCAAGGCTCGGAGGGCGACATTTTGGAATTTCGCGCGGCAAGACTATTTAGCTGCATGTGAGTGTTTTCTCCCAACGAATGGTTCCTCCAAAACTCCGCTGACAGGAAGAAGTCATCAATGAATGCCATACAAGACTGAACACAGACGACACAGTCCTCTGGACCGAAGCAGGTCTACTCATCGACAACGCGGGCTTCATCCGCGCCAGCAACACAGGCGCTGCAGGATACCCGGAAGGCGAAGATATAATGAAAGAAGACCTAATTAGTAACGGCCTAGTCTGGATAATGTCCAAGATAGTCAACTTCATAAGCTCCGGCGACAATGTGCACCTAACCGACCACCGATCCGTGCCAGGACCCCTAGGCGTGTCACAACAAGTCCTCCTGGAGCGGTGGTACAGGCTCGAATCCGAGCTCGACGCATGGTACAACGGGATCCCAGAGACATTCCAGCCCTGCGCGCGAATGGACCCATCCAATCTCACACATCATCGCGCGCGCAACGAAATCGAAGACATGTCCACCCTGCAGGAAATCTGGTACAGTCTGCCTATGTGCGCCTCCGCCATGCAACATTACCACATGGCGCGCATTCTGCTGCTCATTAACAAGCCACACGAGTCCACCAGCCGTCGGAGCACGATCACGCTCCGCCTCCAGTCATACCGCTCGATCGAGTCAGAGATCGCATTCCACAGCCGCGAGATCGTGGGTATCGGTCTCTCCCGCCCGGATGGAAGCGTCAGGATCAATTCGCTACAGCCGCTCTTTGTTAGCGGGCAGTGTCTAACTGACCCGCGCGAACGCCGCACTACTGTGCGTTTGTTGAGGAGTATCGAGTCTGATTTGGGCTGGGCGACTGAGTACCGTGTGCAGCAGTTGCTGAAGGAGTGGGGGTGGGATGAGAGTTCGACCCGATCGCCTGGTTCTTCCGGTTCCTGAGGCTTGAGGATACCTTGTTTTCATAAGAAATGGGTTTCAGCCTGTGAACTAGATATATCGTCTAGAGTGGAAGGGTTGTCGCGGGCTCGGCAACCACCCTCACTGTATGGTACCTGGTCCCTCCTTGGTCGGACCTGTATTGGACCGATGAGATCATTTTGAGGGTCATGGAGTGCAGAGTAATGTGCCGGCTGGCGTCGAATTGTGACTATGCATTTGAGTCCTGTCACCACCAACACGCCATGCCATGTTGAGGGATGGCTTGTCGCCAAATAACTAGGTATTCTCGTCACTCATGCGGGGGATGTGGCCCTCACACGGTGTGACGAATGCCGGAGACATGAGTAATGATCATGATACCCGTGAGCCTCTTTTATAGTAATCATAGTATAGTGCAAGTGTACTCGGTACAATGTGCAGTGTATGTAGTATAACAATAAAGTAGGCAAATGGATTTTAAAGAAGAAGAAACCAGGAATATTAGCGAATTCAGGGTCGAGAACCTTTCCTCATTTGATTCTGCAGCTTCGGGTTAGTTGCCTCTGAGTTCTGCATATGACGCCAAACCCTGCACGGAGTGCGGAGTACTCCATACATTATCCATATTATCCAGGTATATTCCAGTAATTATTCGAACTTTTCTAGGCTGATTCGATCATTATCTACTCTTTGGTTGCTCAGCAATTCTAGTGTAACAAAGAACCACAAAAGTCCTTCGGGGGTCACAAGATAACACACTCACTAACACACCAAAATATCCCCAACCTCTTCTTAATCTCTTAACACTACCCTAACCCACCGCTCCAGCCCTAAAACTAAACCCCAACACCCAACGTTGCAGGTTTTCCGTTGACTATGGTGTCACGGAATCCACTTGCCCCCACTGATTTACCCATCCGGGGTTCTGGGGGGCAAGTTATCCGAATCACGTCTCTCCAGATCCGACATTATTCAGGATCTACACGGCTACGAGAATATCTCGGGTTACTATTACCGCTTATCCCGTACATATTTCGTGTTGGGTAGGATTCTGGGGATCTTTTTCCGGAATGGAGGATGGAGAATGGAAAGTCTGGCGGAGGTGCAGCAGGGGGGGGGGGGGGGGTGGAAAGAGGGGGTTTATAGCACTCGAATTTAAGAGTTGATCGCTGTGGGGGAGGAAGTTAGAGACTTTAGACTTAAAGATTTAGATTTGGATGGAGGGGCTTGAACATTACTTTATTATTTTAGCTAGAGGCTTGGGTTTGGGCTTAGGCTTAGGCTTAGTCTTGGGTTTGCGATGAGCTTGGAGGGCATTTACTTGGGATTTCAAGCGCTGCAGTTTGAGTACGATAATCTCTGAGTGTAAGTGCAAATTCAAGGATAATATTGAGCTCGTGTATTTGGTGTTTTTTGGTTGAATGTGATTCACTTGGTTTGGGAACATAACGAAGTGGGGGCGGGGGCAGGCTGGGGCGTTGACAGGCATTTGGATGTTCTTTTTCTCTTACTTTATCTTACTTTACGGAGTAGTTTTGATGGCAACAGTTGCCCAGCCGGTCTGCATCTCGGAAAAATGAAGGTTGTTTCAGTAGTGAAGACTGTTCTGCCCTGTAGTTTCTTTTTGGTCTTTGTAGGGTATAGGATTGACTACGAGCTAGTGGGTCGATGCGGGTGGGAAGAGTAGCGAGTCGGATTGATAGCTTTGTGTTTAGGCCTAGGGCGTGTCTACATCCAAGGCAGATATCTTGTACATGAAGGGCCTTGGGAATTGCGAAGGGAGAATCAAGGTGATAAAGAAAACTACTGGTGGGGTTCTGTAATTTGATGCGGACATCGGGCTGTGCTTGTGCTAGGTGTGGTGATCAGAGGATGTTGGTGTGATCTAGGCGTACTATCATTGTGGACTATGTATATAGTGAACAGGTCAGCTGATCTGCCCATAAATAAGATCTAACGCGAGGATCAGGAGCTTGTCGATACGGGGATTGGCATGGATCAGGACTCTGGGACTTTTAGATGCATTCAAATCATCCTTGCTAACCAATTCGCTGTGATAGATCGTCTAGTAGCATACAGAGTACATACATATATCATATATAACTCTGTTAGCCATCCGATTGGGCTCATGAGTGACGAATGTCGGTGGTGATCACAGCGAGAGATGGGTTGGTCTTAATGATTGGGTGGATTACCGCGTGGGCTCTCGGGACGAAATTCTATTGTTGGTGACACCGGTTACTATTTGCCCCTCCGTGCTACAACAGGCAGAATTTGATCTCCAGGGGTAAAAACGCAAATCGAATCAGGTGCCAGAATAGCGAAGAGTTGACAAGGCGAGTGCTTGGCAGACCTACTGTCAGCTTAAGGCCTGTCAGCTGTGTAATTATTATCATCTTCAAAGTATTCACATAGATCTATTATTGAGTCTCATTTAATTAAAATCAACATTAACATTGTATTCCTTGTGGGCTGAAAAATAGTAAAAAGCACTAACCACGGAAAGGGCAAAGTATGGAAGAGGCTGATAAATGGTGCTGGCATTAATGATCCTACAATAATATAATATTAAATCAATAATACACCAAACTATTGATGACATCTACTCCGTGCTCCGTATTTAGCATTGAGAAGAAAGATATGGAGTACTTTTTACACTAAGAGTCTCGGATTATCATCAAAGGTATTACATATGGGTTACGGCCTTCTACATACGTTCCTCGGTCAATCATTCTTCAAAGATCGACCGCGGACTCCGTACTGTACTATATAGTTTTCTGTATTGTATTTTACCCCCCGCTGAATAACTTTGCCAAGACCGAATTGAGTTCTAGAGGACCGTGGGTTGGACTTAGTGCCTCGTGTGCCAGTGGGGCAGAGAACGGGCCTATACCACCTGGGTAGTCCCAACATACCGGTAGTACGAAGTACGGAGAGTACATCGTACAAAGTACAATGCATACCCCCATTTATCCTTTCTCTCTCCCTCTCTCCCTCTCTCGGCTACATATACTATTCCTTTGCGATATCGCGCTGGCGCGTTAGGAATTCGCGCAGGATATGCATATCTCGCCATCATGGTGCACGCCCTAACTGGACATTGCCCGGCTCCCTTCTTGCAGGAGACGCTATTCCCCACCGTTGGGGGATTTATCGATGGTCGCTATTGCAAAAACGTCAGCTACGGCAATAGCACTTATTCCTGTTGCTTGCCATGTCCTCTTGCCGAGTGGAGATATGACACTGGTGAGTTCAGTGATTCCTGGGCCGTTATAATTCCAATGATTAACGTGGCTATGTAGACTTGGCCGACAAAATCAGTGCCTCGAGTTGGATCAGCGTCGCCATTCTCCCTCTTTGTATCTTCTTGTTGATTTCCTACGCCGTGCTACCAGTCAAATGGACTCACCGTCATTATCTGAGTGTCTGTTTTACGCTGGGAATTTGTTGCATGGAGGCAAGTTGGATGTTAGTGTGCGCTGAGAATATTTATAGCTAACTCTGCTCTAGATCGCCTTTATCATCCCCCTCGGCGCCAAACCAGAACAATGCCACAATGCAATCACGCCCAATGACATGCGCTCCAATCTTTCCTGTGCCTTCTCCGGGTCCTTGTTGTTGCTCGGGGGCTGGCTAGTGGTCATATGGAGTTTTATCCGCACAATGGCTTTCCACCTACAAGTATGCTGGGAAAAAGTCCTAGGACCGAAGTTCATGTGGACAGCCTTTGTCTGCGGATTCGGAATCCCAGCAATCGGACTGACAATTATGCTGATACTGACTGGGGTGTCATTCCGATTTGGCAAAATCTGCCATATCAACGTAACCAACGGACTATACGACTACTGGATCCCAGTCATGGTTTTCGCCGTCGCAGCCCTCTTCCTCCAACTATCTACAATGGTCTACTGTACCCACATCTACCTTCGCTCTCTCTTCGACAAATCCGCCTCAACATCAGGCAGTTCCGGTACCAACCTCCCCTCATACTCAGCCAGCATCGGCACCGTGACAGCCCGACAAGCCTACCGGCGCATACGCCGCGTCCTTAAACTCCAATGGCGTGGCATCGCCCTCACATCAATCATTCTCGGAAACGTACTCTTTTTCGCAGTTGTCTTCATCGGGCTCGATAACGCCGTGGCGCCAACAGTAGAAAACGTCAAAACCGCAGCCCCCTGGCTAATTTGCCTTGCCGAAACCGGTGATAAAGATCTCTGCCGCGAATACGCCGCAGCCATCGGCCCCAACGAAGCAACACTACTAGCAGTCGTGTTTCTGCTCTCACTCGTCGGCTTCTGGAACTTCATCCTCTTCGCTCGTCCATCCATGTTCGCCGGCTGGCTGGATCTCTTCCACCGCAAAGTGACACGCCGCAACGAGTTCGTCTCTGCGGATGCGACCACCCGCTTCGCTGACAACAAGGGCTTCGAAATGCTGACTACATCTGTGAAATCACCTGATACATTCATGCGCTCGCCAAGCCCTTCCCGACTTGATCGCAATGCTTTCATGCGCTCACCGAGTCCTACACAAATGGGGCAGGACCGCAGCGCTTTCGTGCCCTCGTCGAGCCCTACGGAGATGACTGGATACGGCCGCAGTCCGATCGCTAGCCCTAGCCCAAGCTCCGAGCGCAATACTCAGGTCGCTCGTGAGGCCCGCTATGTGCGTCCCTCCTTGAGCTTTTCAGGGCCTAGGCCGCCTACTGCACGCGAGTGGGATCCCCAGTCTTCGTTTGCACCGGCGCACGGGCGAGAACAAGTGTAATGTTACTGAAATACGTTTTTATGTTTAACCCCCTCCTTTTTTTTTTTTTTTTTTTTTTTTTCCTATTAATGCTCTAAAATATTTACTGGGATTTGATTTGATCTCTCCCATCTTTGGCCTATACTATCCTCCCTTTTCTGAAACATGGGAGATCTACGCAAAAAAGAAACTTCGAAGTGGTATTCTCGGGTTTCCTCTTGAGACACGGTGTTACAGGAGATGTCTCAGTATTTCCCGTTTAAGCGTCCGTGATTTTTGCGTGCCTGTATCAATGATGTATGATGTCTATTTCATATTCGTACTCGATTCCACTTGGTATACAATATGATTCTATTATTATCTATTTTGACATGTTGACTCCACATTTACTACACTTTCTAAACACCGATATACCGAAAATTGGGTCTAGTTACAGTTCCCCATTGCAATCTCAACATGGCGATTTAATTTGCACCCGTCCCAATCTCAATCTCAATCTCAATCTTAACCCGGCAATTCAGTCAGGTCCCCACATCGGTATGCCCGTAAGTGTGACTATGAATGCAGTGATATAATTCCACTAGAACTGCAGTTGTGGACCTGACCGGTCGTGTACCTGAATTTCTACGGAAAAATGCCGGATTCGCGCAAGGGGGAAAAACGGTCCAACAAAGCCATCGTACTCCGTACTACGTAATAATACCTCTAATAGTTATCTTACCGGGGGCGGCATTATTTCCCCTGCCTAGCGCATATCGGGATAACTACGGACTCCACTAGCTTTCCGACATGCAGGAACGGCGGTTTTGCCTTGTTAGGGCTAGTGTTTTGATATAGTTTCACCCTGTAATGGTGTATTACAACGGAGTACGGAGTACTTACTGCGGGTTCAATGCGACTACAAAGGTTATTGTTTTAGCGAAACCCTGCTAAAACGCTTTACCCCTGTTAAACTTTCGGAGAACCCTTCTAGATTCTTGCTGGATGCATTGGGCGGAAAGAAAACTCTTCGACCGTGCAGCTCCTTGGCCAGGATTGGTGATTATGTAAGATTCGTTTGTTGCGGTCCAAGCTTGGAGCGATGTACCTACATAAGGGCATTCTTTAAATTGCGTGGCTGAATGAGGCTTTTTGGTATTCTGTATAGGTGACTAGGATTATGGATCCTGTATTATCGATGGGGTCCAGGTTCAGGAAGTTAATTAAATTGTGTATGCTGGACAGGGGTATATAATCGCGAGGGGTTGGAGCAACTACGTAGTGGTAGACTAAAATGACATATGGAGATTCTATATTGATTTAAAATACCAGATGGCACGAACCGAGGAAACCCGTTAACTTGATTTTTTTCAGTTAAACATCCGTTTCATAGGTTCTCCGTCCAATGCTGTCATACTGACCTCGGGAATAAGAAAAAAGTTAATCCACGGCTCACGAACCCCCGCATCCCAACCCCGGCAAATCTATCTGGCGAACCATCCAAGGTTCCTTTCTGGAAATGTCGCCAACCTTGTTTATTTTCTAGTTCTGCGCATCTTACTAGCTAGGTTCATTGTATGCGGTGATCTCACGAGAACTCCCGGTTGCGGAGTTGATTGACCGAGGTAGCATGCTCTCCAGACCCGGCATTGGAAATCAACGAAGTTCGACACACGGAGTCGGGAGCCTTAGCCCTGGTTGACGCCTGGAATTGGTAGCTGTTCATAGGCCAGGAGAACAGTTACTTCGGCATTTATTGCATTTGAGGTGGGGTTGGCACGTGTTTTTAGTAACGTATAGCTTCGTACTCTATATATTGAATACGATTCTATACCGTGCATAATCCGGGGCATACAGAGCTCAGGATGGTAATTGAAGATGGGCCCATAAGTGGAAAATGCCGGGATGAAGACCTTGCTGGATTCCAAGGTTGGCGCTAGTATGCAGATGGTCCGAGGTCTGCCATGTGATATTCAACTCCCGGGGAAACTTTATTTCGAAGTTGTTTTATGGGGTATGGGGTGATCTTCTTGCATTCATTGCTAAATCTGGGGAATACCGGTGAAAGAAAACCGGAGTACAGGGAACAATGGCATTGGGCTACCTGCAGGGCCCGCGGGCCCATGGAAGATGCCACCTAGGAAAACCCTGCATGATACTTAGTCTAGGAGTCCATGTATATACCTAGAAGTATGTAACTGGTAATACTATACCGAGCCTACTTTGGGAACATGTCTACAGTCACGGCGTCAATCCCAGTGCAGCTAAGATGCCACTATTTCACCTCATTCCCAAGGTTAAGTAAAACCAGATGCACCAGGCCTAAAAGGCAGCACCCCACCAGTTCCCGTGCAATTGCACTCCACTGTAGCCCAAAAGATCTTCCTCTCATGAGCAATACCAGCATATGACGTGGAAAGATTATACTCTTGTGGAAAGGTAGTTGTTTACGGTGCCCTTGTTTCATCTACACTACGAGTATGACGCATAATCGCTGGGAAGGCACGGCAGCAAACCATCCTAATGCCGCCTTTGCACATCACTTTCCTTCCTCTTTTCGGCTATGGCGCTTGATAGCTGGAGAAAGGTGTGGCAGATAAATTATCCTAGCGCCACTTTCACACATCAGTTTCATTCTCTTTTCTTTCAGCTATGGGTGTAGCAGATTATGGAAGGCATGGGATTTACACTAATGACATAGGACTACTGGACATCTTAGCATTTACTTGGTGGGATCTGAGAACAACAGCACTTGCATAGAGGTTCCGGATCTTCATTGTTTTTCCAGGTTTCCAACTTTGTCAACTCCATATTCTTTTTATTCCTGCGGTTATCTTCGCATTTTGACGTCTCCTTTCTTATCCTTCCATTGTCATTGTCCCCCATCCCATCCTGCTACTATATCTGGCACGTACATGACATGAGCGAGGAGTAAATGTCGACCTTCATTCCATTCTAGAACCACCAAGGAGATGACAATGTCAAACATCTGTATATTTCTCGTACTATGAGTAGTAATAAACCGAGCCACAAAATAATTCTTCAGATTTCAACAAAACAAGCGGTCCAGAGGCCACGACAATGCCTAGTAGGCATGATCTAAGGAAGCAAATTTCAAACATAACTCCCATCTACAAGCCACCAGCAGCACAAATCTTTTTAGCATCAGCGACACGCTCCGCATACCGACTTGGGTACGCCGAGCCCTGCACCTTCTGGCAAAGCTTTCCAACCTCCATAGTCTTCCAGCCACTAACATTCTTCATGCCTTTGAAGAACTGTGCAGCCGACTTGGCAGCATCCATATCGGCAGCGATGTCAGGGTAGTAAACGGCGCGCTGCTGGAAGATACCCACGCTGTCGTAGTCCGAGCCCACAGCATCATGGGGATAGTTGAGGGAAGCAGGGACTTTCTTGTTGGCGTAAATAAGCATCTTAGACTTGGTGTAGTGTCAGCAATGTTCTGAGTAGTTCTATCGGAATTGGATGTGTATGCTAGGACTTACCTCAACAAGCCCGGTGGCAATTCCAGCAAGACAGCCCTGACGACCCAGATCTTCTCTTTTCGCTTCTCCGATGATGGCCTTCGCATGCTTGGACTGAGTGGACGTGAGACCGGGCAGGTTTCCACTGCTGCCATCACCGCTGCTGCCGTCACCGCTGCTGCCGTCACATTTCTTGGTGACATAGCTGCTGCTCCCGGTTCTGATATAGTAGTCGGCAATATAGCAGCCGTCAGAGGTCTTGTCCCAGATTTCGTTGCCGTTCACGGTGGTGCCGGCGGCCTGGCAGCTGATCGCAACGTCGGCGCCCTTCTTGTAGCTCGTAACTACAGAGTAAGAGGTCCCTGGACCAGAGCGGCAGTTGACGACATCGCCGGTGATGGGATAGGCATTGACGATAGGCGCGATGGCGGTAAATGTGAGTGCCAGAATGGGAGTGAACATCATTTTGAATAGATTTTAGAATGATACTTTGAAGTATATTGTGAAGTTGAAGCTGGTATTGTAGAATGGAGACTGTAGAGTAGCCGATGTTGCGATGTTGTGAGCTAATGGACAGAAAATTTTGAAGGGGAATCAATGAGAATTTTATATCCCTGGGTTCTTCATTCCTCGAGATCGTATACTACACAAAATAACTATTTTGTTAATTCTTGCTGGCTTCAGACCCCACGAAGCTCGTATAAAAGTGGAATGTAAAGAGATCTTCGATTCGTATTTGTAGATCTCTTTCCATGAAGCCCCTATCCAGTGTTGAGGTTTTATTAAGTGAAAGTAACAACTCGACCTCCAAAAGGAGGAGCCATCTCGTATAATCCCCATAAGGGGTTCCCGTGTCAAATGTCCAGTGTTGCTAAGCTTAATCTGAACATAGGTTAAGCTTGGCGCTCGTGTTCCTGAAGACTTGCCTGTCAGGGCACAATATGCACGCCTAAAAATAGCAGGACTATCGGGATATTAGCGTCAATTGATGTAGATCACCCGTATTCAGATTATGCACTTCTATTGATTCGATTGTTATGTTCCTGGCAGGTTTAGTGCATACTACACCGGAAAGCTAAAGTTTGGGAAGGCTCCATGTGGATAAAGTTAGGTATAGGAAATACCGAATGTACCTCGTTTCATCCCTTGAACGTAGATGAGTACTAGATTTTGAGCGCGGCAAGGGTGCGGCAATATGTGTCCGTGCTTGACGACGGACCTTTATGGTACATGTTATGCGTCGGCTATTGGAACTCCCAGTTATGTGGTAATGCCAACTCGTATACGGAGTACTACGTCGCTAGTTATCTAAGTATCCATACTAAATAGTGACTGGACTCAAGGAATAATGAGAGAATTTGGAGGTGCTTCCTAACAAAGTATGCATTTATACCACGCATGATTTTGTTATTTCCGAACCCTAGTCGATTTAGAGCTAGCATTCAGGAGTTGGCTTCCGAGGAATATGTATTCGCAGAAAGACCAAGCGTTGAAAATGCATCTTATTGCCTGGCTTCTCCAACGTGTGTCAGCTAATAAGGTGTGGCAAGTTTGCTT